GATCGTTCTATTAGCGTTGTCGCTTTTACTGCTTTCAAACTACAGTCTTCCATGAATATGTCGCGTACATTCATATCTGCTCAAAGCGTATCCAAATGTAAACAAATGAGGTCATACATTTATGAAATGGTCAAAGTCCGACAAATTATTTTAAAACATTTTTATGTTTATACATTCTTTTTTATAGATACAAATATTTAAGTAAATGCTCTGTTTTATAATAAACAGTATTGATAACATTTATCGGCCTGAATAAAAAGAATATATAAACATAAAAATGTCTTAAAATTGTCGGACTTTGTCCATTTCACAATACACATACACACACACACACACACACACACACACACACACACACACACATATATATATATATATATATATATATATAGTCTGTGTGTGTTCGATGGATAAAATGTCGGTTAAATTCCGCAGAAATGAAAATAGCACTGCCATCACATTTTTTTTGTTTTATACGGGGTCTACGAGGAATTTTTGGTCGAGTCTAGGGGCACGGATACCACACATTAAATTAGGCCTTGTGCCACATCTGACCTCGTAGAACAATTGGTAGATATTCTGCAGCTGGAGATTCATTGTGCAATTCACTTGACTCACTTCTAGCAGTTGGCGACTTCTTCCACGCGCCGCTGGCAAATCTTATACGCATTGTTCGTGTCCTAAGTATTATAGTTCATTACAAACCTTCCTGGGATTATTTTATTCAGTAACCCTCCCTATGTTACAAAAAGTGGTTAAAGAAAATTTATTTGTACTGTAGAATCAAAACAATAACTATCTAACATGTTCGAAATACACCACTTCATGTTTAATACAACGCTGAATCATATCAGCAAGACATCTACAAGAAATTTGCCATGTTTCTTGGTTAATTTCAAAACATGCATCAGAAATTGCTTGTTTTAATTCAGCAATTGTTTTTGTTTGAGCCTGTGAATAAGATCTTCAATATAACCCATAAGAAAAAAGACTGGTCTTGTTCGGTCTAGCGATTGTGATACTCCACGTCGTCCTATCCTACTCAGATTAAAAAATGAAAAAAAAAAGCGTAACTTTAACTATCTCTCTCTCTCTCTCTCTCTCTCTCTATATATATATATATATATATATATATATATATATATATATATATAAGGCAGGATGTGTGTGTTTCTGTGTCTGTGTGTCTGTGTGTCTGTGTGTGTGTGTGTGTGTGTGTGTGTGTAACGAATGCACGGCTGCAATTTTCGACGGATATGCACCAAAATTTACAAGCACATGCTCCAAGGAAACGAAAAGGCCAAGACCGACTTTGCATTTCCCAAGAAGAATCGGACCTGAATTTTTTTAATACCAGCATAAATCGAAAATTGTATTTGTAATTGCAACATGCAAATATCGTATACTTAAGTTTATATATTTGTTCTAAAATTTTTAAATTCTCACCACATACAGATATGCAGCCATACATACACACACATACACACAAATATACACACACTCATATGTTTGTGTGTATATCTCTATCTATAAAAGGCAGGATGTGTTTGTGTGTGTGTAACGAATGCACGGCCGCAATTTTCGACGGATTTGAAACAAAATTTACATGCACATGCTCCAAGGAAACGGAAAGGCCAAGACCCACTTTGCATTTCACAACTCCCATCGATAATGGAAATAATCGATCTTTTCGAGCTTCTACAGTAGTTTACATGTAGTTCGCGGCCATTTTTTACTGGCCAGAGTGAGAGCATATAGCTGGCTGCCACGAATAGGCAGGAAGATTTTATTGGCCATCGTGAAAGCCAACAGCTGACTGACACGAATGTTAACTAGCATGCTAGCATGCAAAAAAAATCGATAGTTGCATTCGTCACAAGTGGGAAAAATTTAAATCTGCATGGCACTTTACGCCAATTGGCTCATTCGCTTGCTTAAACTCAACGTTGATTCTGATTCCGCAAAACTGGGTTGGGTGTGAAAAAGTATGTTGTTAACATTCTTTATTCATTCGGTTTTTCCAGTTACGTGTCCCTTTTTAAAGCTGATCGTTTTGTGTTTATTTTCTTTAGTTCTTTTTTCGTAACATATTTAATGTTTAGTATAGAGCTTAGAAAAAATTCGCAGTTTGAGATAGGCATGTAACAACATCAGCACAGCAAAGGGCACTCCTTTAAAGGCAAGGAAGGGCAAAAATATTTTAAGTCAAGTGATAGCGATTGCTGTATGAGTCTTACGATTTTTGAATCAAGCACGGGGAACGCCGGACCATGCTGCTAGTATATATATATATATATATATATATATATATATATATATACGCCCCTTTCTTTGCAGCTTTCATTAGGGTTGGTTTATTCACCATCTCACCAAGTTCATGTTCTGCCAACCATGTGCACATACACGTTAGATAGGTTTCTAGCTGAGACACAGTTTGTTCTCTTGCAATCAGTACGAACTGTGCGTATTCATTTCTCTAAACATACTGTCCTTCTTATTTGCCCTACACATTCCAACTGTCTCTTTCTCATTCTAACAACAAGTTTCGTTTTTGTCATTATTTTCCTTGAAACATCAGGCCATGGAATCCTCGTGATAACTCGGGGAAACAATATTTTTTTTCCCTCCACTCTGTTCTTCATCTGCGATCATATTGTCCCGTATTTATTATATAACAGTTCAGCATTGTTTTCTTTGTTTCTAATGAAGATATCTTGTTTCCTATTACTTTGTTTAACTTCTGGAAGGCATCTTTCTCTATTTCAATGCACCTAGAGAACTTGGTGTCATATTTTCTGTCATATGTTCAAACACTAAATTTATATTTAAATTTTCGTACTTGCACAATTAGAATCTTAGGCTGTTTCTTTGGATGATAACTACACATTATATCTTCTTAAAATTGATGTTTATAGCTTTAATCTCACTTATTTGCTACCTTTAGAAATTTCCATAATTCCCTTTCTGCGATTCTTGCTAACACAGTGTTATCTGCATATTTGTTGTTTAACATTTGCGCGCCAATAAGGATTACTGATAAGATTTCGAATTCTCTTAGGAACGCCTCATTGTACAATGTGACTCAGTCCGTTGAGAAGACATTTCCTTGTCTTCCACCTCTTTCGATTTTTTGTGTATTTACTGAATTCATTCTTTGTCCATATACTGGTGGTTTGTTCCTAATATAAGTTCTGGATTATTCTAATATCCTTCCTAAATAAACATGCTTTCCTATCCGTTTGGACTGTTCTTTGTGTCGTACTTTTCTAACGATTTTTAGCATAATCTTTAAAACATAGTTATACACACTTTTCCACTTATGTTGTTCATTCGTATATAATTCTAAGTATGAATATTGCACCCTATTTTAGCGACGGATGAATCCTGGAAGACCAGATGATACTATACAGAATGGCAAACGTATATCCACGCCATTAATAACTATATACCATTTAAACATACATTAAAGAAGAAAATAGCATTACATCCCGAAACAGAAATTAAGGAAGTTTACATAACTTGCAAATTTAATACCTGTTATACCTGAAAAATATGAAAATTCTAAATGTTTTCTACTGAATAAATAAATGAAACATCTCAATGTGAAAAGTTAGAAACAAAGAAAATACTGAATTATTGTGTCATATCTGTTCTCATATATGGCAGTGAATACTGGAAATTCTCCTCAAAGATGGGGACTAGTTTTGAAGCAACTAAAATGGGGTTCTACTGAAGGACGGTGAGATTGCCATGGACTGAATATGTGATCAAAGATGAAGTTTTATAGAAAATGGAAATAAAAATTCACTATTAACATTATATTATATTTAACATCAGGAAGAAGCAGTTTAAATTTCTAAGGCACATATTGAGGAAAGAGGGGTTAGAATATTTGACACTCACAGGAAAGATTGATGTCAATTTAAACAGTGGATACCCTACCAAACGAACTTGTGTAGATGGTTGACGGAACAGGGTTAAGGAGGCAGAGAAAAATGAAAACATTTGCTAAGAATTACAAAGTAAAGGAAGTTGTGGAGAGTCATGATCGTCAGTGTTCTAAAGAGGGGCAGCACAAAGAAGAAGAAGAAGAAGAAGAAGAAGAAGAAGAATTGTTGACTTGAACTATTCCAAAATGTACCTCACTTTTCAATCAATTATTTTTTACCATGGTCAGATTAGACTAAGAATCGCATATTACTGCAGCAGCTTGTCTGGATTTTTCGAATGTTCAATATCCAGACATATTAGGTTTCAAATTTCTTTACGCGTCTTCGTAGAGGATGACTCTTTCACTCTTCACCATAATTGTCACCATGGCAAAATCGCAGGTCTATCTTTCCTTATTGCTACTCACATGTCAACTGTTCAGACGCGCTTCATGCTTTAGTACTACCAATCTATACCTTTACAGCTAAGACGCATCTTCCTCCATCCGCGGGGTTGTATCACACGCATTTGCTTCGTATTTCATTGATAAAATCCAAGTTGCAGTCAAAGAGATTCTGCTCAAAAGCAACAACTTCGGAGAACACATTCCTATCTAAACACACCAATATTAACCCCTTCACGCCTTGTGTTAATCGTTCTGTATCCTCTATATTCTCATAATTCTTACTTCCTACTTTTTCATCCTACGTTCATATAACACATTTTATTAATTTCTCCCTCTACTTTCAGTGGCTCTTGGGCGTTAACAATAGCATATATATATATATATATATATATATATATATAATATTAGTGGTAAATATACACATACATATGCAAAATATATAAATATATGTGCATACACACACACACACACACACATATATATATATATATATATTTTGAATAAAAAAAATTCCAAGAGGATAGAAGATAGATAGATAGATCAGAATTTATCATATTATAATTTTGCTTGTCGATTGCTTCGATAGTTTGCACGATTTTACGCCCTGTCAATACATCTTAAATAATGGATTATTCTATTTTGATCGCGAGGAAAAGGGCAGTACCTGATTTCAGTGGAAGAAAGAAAGAAAGAGAAAGAAAGAAAGAAAGAAAGAGAGAGCGAGAGAGAAAGAAAGAAAGAAAAAATAAAGAAAGAAAGAAAGAGAAAGAAAGAAAAATAAAGAAAGAAAGAGTTAGTTTAACGGCTATTTAAGTGAAATGGAAAAAAGTTTTCAGTCTCAATTTCATTTGTACCCACTTCTTAAAATAATGACCAGCATTCATATTTATGGTTGTTATCGCAAGATTTTGTTAAAGATATCCTCAAATATTTAACGATGCGATAGCAGAATTTCTACGGACATTTTATTGTCGAAGAACTCGCCATAAACTTGCCCAATTATTAACTTAAGAGTAAAGATTCCTCAGAAAATTAAAATATAAAAACCGCAAGATTATAACTCGTTATGCATTAATACAGAACATTGCACGTGAAAGATCTACTGCCATGAGTAATTACCTTCTAATATGAATTCGAAAGTGTCTTCTGTATGCGAGGCTTAGTTTACCATGTTCTTCTTTCAGTCCGCCTCTTTTTCCTCGATATAATCATCGTCTATTAGAGAGTTGCCGCGAAAATCATAGATTATTTAATAAGTCCTTTTATGCAATGGCGTTGTTAACACTGTTCTAAAGCATTTACATGGTCGTAATTCCTGTAATCTAGTGATATGACCGCTTATCCCACGCAGCACAGTGCATAATTCTGATAACAAATACTCTGTCTTCCATGAGCGTAAAATCGATACGATTCTCAGAACGAAGAAAAACAGTTTGCACACTTGCGGACGAAGCTCAGTGATTGGAAACACGGACAATTAAGATAGAAATAGCCTTCCTGCTTTCATAACGGCTCCACTCAATGTTGAAAGACCTCTAAGAATCCGTTAAACACAGAAAAAAATAACTATACCTGGCGCGGCATAAATATCTACCCATTATTGAAGTATAAATTGAAACAACTATTCGTGAATAACTTGGACCGATTTTTAAATATGAATTAAGTTTAAGCGTCTAATGATTTTCTTCTTTTTTTAGACTTCATGTAGTGGAAATATTCTTTCTCACCAGTACCATAGAAGGCTAGAGTCGTTTCCTCGAAAAGGAAATTGATGCTTCAGTTATTTTGAATGCAAAATGCATTGTGTTTATTAACTATCTTCAAACCATCAATGGAGAGACCTATACCAACTTCCTGAAGCAGTTTGTAGAGTACCGGATGTGTAAGCGTGTTTTGTATTAGAAACAAGTGTGTGACTCCTAATAGAATATTAAAAGACCCAACTACATAAAATATGGCGGACATAATTGGTCAAACCGAAGATAAAAGAAAACAAACAAGACAAATATATATATGTCAACAAATATGCATTAAACAAATTAAGGCAGATAGACATAACGTTTGTGTGTGTGGGAACATTGGTGAATGTTCGTATTTTGGTGAATGTTCGTATTTTGGTGAATGTTCGTATTTTGTTGAATATTCGTATTTTGGTGAATGTTCATATTTTGTTGAATGTTCGTATTTTGGTGAATGTTCGTACATACATATTTGTAATGTTCATAGCGTTTTCCCAGAAAAGGGAAGCGCTGATCTTCTAAGAGCTTACATCTTGTCGCTGAAATGAAGAAGAAAGAGAGATTTACCTCACCACCACGCGAGGTAGGATGCGGCACGAGGCCTGAGGAAAAATGAGAAAGAGGAAAGAAGTTTCCCAGTATTTATAGAATGGGGAGAAAGAGACCTCTGGTGAAAAATTAGGGAACTAAGGAGGAGGTAACTCCGACAAGTTACGAAAACTCTCAAGAACAAACGCACATGAAAACGGACTGTCACAAAGATAATTCTGTAGCGCATAAGTCCTTTGTTTTAATGACTGCTGTGCATGATTGTAACTTTGAACTGGTTGATCACCATCCTCATTCTCCTGATTTGACCTCTTCTGAATATCATCTGTTCCCCAACTCTCTGTTGTCTTTTTGACCAATACGATTAAAGCTTCTTCCCCAACGATATCCAAGCACTGCAACACAGATGGAAGAATTATGTAAACAAGAAGGTGTTTATGTTGAAGAATAAACCTCATTTGTATATATTATATGAGAGTATCTTTGTCAGCCTATGAACCTTTCAGCCGACCCTGATAAATGAAAATTTAAAAAAGTAAAACTTAGTTTATCAGATTATCATAAAACCATACTAAGCGAGGTATGGTGACCACGGATTAATACGACGCTGAATAAAACGGAAAAATCAAAACGTGATACAAATACAGATTGATTTTGTCGTAGCCGTGTTCGAGCGTGCTGGCCGGGACACTTGGACGTGGGGTAATGATTAACAAACTTGTCTCGACACATCATTTACAACTGTTCAGTGCGTTTACCATACGTGTTGGCTGTGTTTGGAAAATAAGAAAAAAAAAGTCACTATAGATGCACATACATAAAACTCTACATATTCACATAAAAAATTAAACAACAATTGATAATGTCTAATAGAATAGCCCGAATCGCTCGGAAATGTAGAAGATCTGAACAGTTTTTAAAGACTTTATGCCCCGAATATAAAAGAAAACTTCTACGAATACAAGAAAATTGAAAAAAAAAGTTAATCGCAGTACCTTGTTAATTGTCTATAATGAAACATATATAAATACATTGATTTTCTAAGCGCGGCTTACATGTAGAATGTAATGGGGCTCACTGTCAGGATCGAACTCACTACTCAGTCGTAACTGATCTAGCAAGACAAGCTTTCTAACCATTACATCACGTCAAGGTCCCCTTTCTTTCCAAGCGTAGCTTAGATGTGGGACAAGTCCGAAAGCTGGAGGGGACTTAATGAAGATCGAACTCACTCCTCAGTAGTAATTTTTCTAGAGGGACACGCTTGCTAACCATTACACGATGTCGAGAGGCCAAACTTATATATAAATACAGACAGATATATATAGGATTAAGGACACCTTGACATGGTGTAATGCTTACAAAGTTTTTCCTACTGGAATTAATAGTACTGAGTTCGAGCTTCATTTGGTGCCCTATACTCTCGGCCTTGTGCCACATCCGAGCTACGCTTAGAAAATCAACATCTATCTAGAAGTTATACAAATATAAAATTGGTCACTTAGTTGGATGATATTATATTTAGAACCTCTACGCAAGAATTTCGTAGATGAACTTTTATGTAATTGTTCGGTCCACTCGTCAGGAGACTTGATATTCTTATACCTCTGTTTCGATTTTCGTGTAAACTGAGGTAATTGGATAATAATTTGATATTACATATCTGACCCAGATAATTAGGCCTATTTCATTCCTTTAAATATTTAGCACGGTTAGATCATGCAAATTAAATGAATATTTAATCTGAATTAAATTATTCACATTCAAGAGGAGGGAGAAATACAATCCCCATTGGTGATTTTGTCTAGAATGAATTTGCTTGATTTCAGTTGCCAGATAAAAATAGGTAGTGAGTTTGCATATTGAGAGGGAAAAAAAAAGGAAAAGGAAAGAAAAGAAAAGGCAGTGTGTTTGTATATTGAGAAGGAAAAGAAAAAAAGAAAGAAAAAAGGAAGCGTGTTTGCATATTGAGAGGGGAAAACAAGAAAGAAAGAAGGAAAAAAGGCAGTGTGTTTACATATTGAGAAGGAAAAGAAAAAGAAAAAAAGGCAGTGTGTTTACATATTGAGAAGGAAAAGTAGAAAGAAAAAAGAAAGAAAAAAGGCAGTGTGTTTACATATTGAGAAGGAAAAGAAGAAAGAAAAAAGAAAGAAAAAAGGTAGTGTGTTTACATATTGAGAAGGAAAAGAAAAAGAAAAAAAGGCAGTGTGTTTACATATTGAGAGGGAAAAGAAAAAGAAAAAAGAAAAAAAGGCAGTGTGTTTGCATATTGTGAGGGAAAAGAAACAAGAAAAAAAAAAGAAAAAAAAAGTCGGTGTGTTTGCATATTGAGAGGAAAAAGAAAGCAAGTGAGCTAATATTGCAGATTATTTTTATCGCTCCACGTTGGCAAAATGATGTTAGTAATTTCATTCCCCACTGACCATAAGCAAAAATTTTGCCTCATGCCAAATATTACTTCTAATTTATAGATTTCGTCCGCACTGTAAATGAACTGGTCAACTGCAGTCTATACAGTATACACTTGGATGGTTTTCCTGCACTTGGCACGAACGTGGTTATGTATTAAACGAAAAGCCGTTCAAGAAATAAACAGTAACCTTGTTGCACTTCCACCTTTTGCATGTCTTCTATTTTTGTTTATTTATCTTATCTGTAATAATGCAAGAATACACGAAATGTCAAGATCATTGACTACCATCCATTTACATTAGCCACCACTAAATGAAGAACAAATAAAATAATAAGCTATTTAAGTAGGACAACGCACGTTCAATAGGCCGCTATTCGTTCAGAACTCCGTTTGGGCCGCATTGTTTAGAATCCCGTCGAATTGTACAGCCACCACCTTCGTCGAAGAAGAGCCTGATATAGTATTTATGAGACGCGGAGGAGAGTGTGAACCGGGCGGTAGGCGAACCTATCTACTCCTATTGAGGAAAAATAAATAAATAAATGCATAGTAAATATAATTTCAGAGTTTAGGAGGAGACGTTAGACGTATAGAGTTGAAGTAGACTTTAGTAGGAACAAGAAACGCAATCCTAATCAGGAAACAATGTATAAAATACTACTCCTGTTCAAAAAGCTAGCGAGGTGTGGGAAGCGGGCGATAGGCGAACCAATATTCGCCTATTGAGAAAGAAAATACTAACTTAAATTTCAGAGTTAGAGACGAAGAAGTTGATCTTAAATATAACCGGAGGCCCAATACAAAGCAGAAAAGAAGTATAAACATCTACTCCTGTTCAAAAAACCGGGGAGGAGTTTGAACAGGACAAATAAATGATTGATTTGTGTCTTTATAGCTCATCAATCCTTTGTGGGTTATGTGGAGTCGAAAAGTTTTTATGCAATATCGAATGTTGCTTACAGTAAATGGAGTTCCCAGTTGGTCAACCATCAACCACTTTCCCACAGACGGAATGTCATATGCCTCTCTTTATATTTCACACAAATTCTGCCCTTGCAATATCAAGGTATGTTCAGCTTGCGATGTGACACGGTTATTTGACATGGCGTGATTAAATACCTAAGAAAAGGACTTTGAACCACTTGTAAAATCGATTTTAATATCGATATGCTACAATTTACCGTGCAAGGTATTCTCATAAGATCACGTCAGTTAAGAAGTGTCGAGGTCAGTCCTGGTGGAAATGATGACTATAGCTCGTTAGAACAATTGCCATTGAAATAGCGTGTCAGGAGGGGCTCTCCTGGGGAACATACATAAACTGTAATTAATTTCTGATCAACATAATTGCAATGTAAACCACAAGTTGTGTTTGTGAGCTTTCAAGAAGCACATATAGGCCGGAGCAGATAGACATGCTCAAACGAGTAACCGCCTTGCTGAAGATGAGGAATCTCACTGATTCTCTTTGGTTATATTCATTGTTCTATTTTTCCCCTCACAACTTAACGTTGACAGTTATTTATAGTGCATTGCCCGACTCAGAACGAGATTTGCGTACATAATAACCGCTTGATACCGATTAGTAGGCCGTGTATCAAAACAGTATTCAATTTGAATCCATTGTGCTGTAAGTAGACCGGAATACAGGTTTTTCTGTTCAGACTCACCGCAACGCACCGTTAATAAACAATAACTAAAGATAGCCTAAATCTGATAATTCACTACGACATGGAAGGGATATGTGGGATTTCATGAGGTTTTAAATCCGGTCGACGCTTATTGATTGGCCTAAAGAGATTTGCCCCGGTCTTGTGAAGGTTATTAGGAACGACTGAAGTGGGAAGTCTCAGTGTAGGTGTTAATAAACTAGCTATCTTCAACTAATGTTCATATATCTAATCGACATAGCCAGGACGCAAGTACGATTATCTAGTGTAGATGGGGGGTGTTTGTAAATTAGGCTGTTATGCAGCATTTATCTAATTATCTATGTATTTTGCAAAATTGATGCGGCAACAAATCACTCATGACAGTAATATCGTGTTCGAGAAGAAGAAAGCGAATTTCCTATGACCTACTTGACTAATTAATTTTTCTTTGTTTTATACACACACAGACATTGATATATATATATTTATATATATATATATATATATATATATATCTTAAAGACATTTTTTATGTTTAACGTTGTTATTTTATAGATACAAGTATTTAAGCAAATGCTCTGTTTATGATAAAACAGTATTAAATAACATTTACCGGCCTGAATTTACATGAAATTTTCATTAATTATTTATATAAATTTCGAAGCCTGGTCATCCTATATATTTATATAAATTTGTATATTTTATATAAATTTGACGCTGACATGCAAATTTCTATACATTCAGGCCGAAATTTATTTAATCTAAACAGAGCATTTGCTTATTACTTGTATCATAAAATAAAGAACGTTAAAAAAATGTCTTTAATAAATAAAATTGTCGGACCTTGTCCATTTTTTTATATATATATATGCATATATATATAAACTGATAAATATAATTAAATTTTCCTTGTCTGGCATGTATAATAATATATATATATATATATATATATATATATATGTGTATATATATATATGTTTGTTTGAGCAAAACTTAATATTATATATATATATAACTAAGGGTATAAAAAAAAAAGATAATTGCCAACAAATGTATGTATATTTATTATTATATATATATATTTTATATATATATATAAAGAAAAGATAGTCTTAAAGGTGTGCTATATTTATATAAAAGTGCTCAATATCAGAGATAGAGCGTGTGTAAATAAAAGTGAACATAAAGTCAAAAAAGGAAACAGAAAGAAAAATATATATATTTCTGGAAAATCATGTAAAATTTACTCATCCAGGTCGTTTGAAAACTACATAAACAATTAATCTACTTTTTCTTGTCTGTCATATTTAACGGAAGATGTTTAAAATGAAAGGTTGCAAAATATACATTAATATATTCAGAAAAAACATACACAAACACATATGTATAAATATATATATATATATATATATATATATATATATATATATATATATATATATATATAAGATAGATAGATAGAAGATAGATAGATTGCTGACCGTGTAGCATCACTATACATATACATTTATAAAAAAAATATACATATTCAGTTAAAATAAGGAAAAAATACATCCTTGATAATGGCTAAAAGAATAGGTGAAATTGATATAATAACATTCGACAATTTTAACCACTTTATATCCAGAAAAAACTCTTATACGAACACAAAAATTGATTTAAATGTTCAGGTAGGTTGACAGACGTCTTTAATTTATATATATATATATATATATATATATATATATATATATATATATATATATATATATATATATATATTTATAGATAAATGTAAATATATATAGATATATATATATATAGATATATATTGATAAAAACTAAACCTTTATATATATATAACTAAATCTATCTAAATATATTTAGAAAAAACTATATAGAAAAGAAAATATTGTGTTATTTTTAATTTGGAAATGATTGTATTCACACATAGATGCGGATACATGATTGTACCTATATAAATCTGACATTGATATGTTGTTTTATATATATATATATATATATATATATATATATATATATATATAGTGCATATATACATATGTATTGTAGGCGCAATATTAACAATATATATATATATATATATATATATATATATATATGTGTATTCGTGTTTAGGTAGGTATTTTTTGTATATATATATCGTGTCATGTATATAGGAGTGCATGTGGTCTCTCTCTCTCTCTCTCTCTCTATATATATATATATATATATATATATATTTTTGTAAGTATTTTTAAGTTCGTAAAATATATGTAGGATATAGTAACATGAATACATATGCATATATAGGTATATATGGGTATATATTTGTCTTATATATATAGAGAGAGTTTTGAAATGGAAGGACATAACATTTTTTTATTAATGTTTCATCTTATTTTCACTTTCCATATTCTCTAATTAGAATTGTGAGAATGGATTTTGTTATCAACTGGAGGTAATTTCATTTTAAATTGATAATTCAATTTAAATTTAAATATATTAAACTTTAACTATCAGTCTTGATAATAAAAGTATTAAAATTAGAAAATAATTTTTGAAATTTAAACACTTAAGTCACCACCTAACGTTAAACATTAACTGTGAAATTTAAGGAAAAATTTAAATAGATATAAATATAAATATGTGTAAATATGTTTGTAAATGTATGTATTGAAGTTTTATATATGAATATGCATAGGTACCTGTGTATATCGATACGTATGTGTGTGCTACATGTAAATGAACGTATGTATATTGAGATTTACATAAGTGTATATATGGTATATATATGAAAAACATTTTTTTTAATATTTCAAATATTACTCCTTAATTTAAAACCTAAAGTTTAAGCAAGAAAGTTTACCCATCTAAAATAGTTACAAATTACATTCATGAATTAGATTCAAACTGATAAAGATGTTACCTTAACAGTCATTTACAATATTAAAAAAGATAAACTAGACTTTTATATCTTAAATATTTTTTTAATGTGTTGTAAAAGAGTTAAACGTTTACATTGCTAACAAGCATTAAATTAATTTCTTCGTGGGATTTTTTAAGCATTTTAATTACTATCAAACGTTAAAATCTGTTTTTTTTTAACCTAAATTGCTAAAACTATACCACCCCTCTTCTTCCTCCGTAAACCCTAAATATATATTCTTTCTCTTTAATTACCCTTTTTTTCTTTTTTTCTTTTTCTTTTTCTCTCTTCTCTCCTTCACTTTCAACATGTCATTTCCGTTAAGTTGACCGATTAAATAGGTCAATGTCTGTCCCTAGTTTCTCAATACTAAGCATGATAGAAAGAAATATTAAAATAATCCCTCTCTAAACTCGACCATGTCTCTCACACCACTCCACGCTACCCTCTCTGTTAAATTACATAAACTTAATACTTCCCGTCAAATGTGTAAATTTTCATTTCATTATTCGTTTCACATTTTGGAAGTGATGCCTGATGATCCAGGATACCTTAAAAGGTCTCTGGTGAAATAAACTATTACAGTGCTTTGTTTTTTATTTATATATATATATATATATATATATATATATATATATATATATATATATATATATATATATATCGGACGTACTGTGGCTTCCTTCTGTCTTTTCTACAAGTACTTTCATGACAACTGCTACGACGAGCTACTTTCACTGGTTCCGAAACTGCATTAATTTAAGTATGGTACTAGGTTGGAATGTTGGTCCCACCCTATCACTGTCGAAACTGTTAAATGTAGCTACCTCTTCTACTCCAACAGCTTCTTAGCTCGCACTTCCCATTCAGTGGAAATCCCTTCCTATCACTTGCTTCCCTATTAGGTATGAGCTTCAAATATTCAAATGTAATATCAATAGACATTTCTTTGGACCTTGATCCCTGTCCTTGTATTTATCCTCTTCCCAAACACTCCTGTTTACTCTCTGTAATCCCTTGTATGACAATGGCACTTCCGCCTTGGTTGAGGTGATTTGCTTTATAATATACATATATATATATATATATATATATATATATATATATATATATATATATATATATATATATATATATATATATATATATATATATATATATATATATATATATATATATATATATATATTATTCAGTTAAAATAATGTGTGTGTGTGTTTTATAGAATAATGTACTTGTTTGTAAAAGAAACGTATATATATATATATATATATATATATATATATATATATATATATATATACAGAGATAGATAGATAGATAGATAGATAGATAGATAGATAGATAGACTGGGCTGACCGTGTTTGGAAGAAAATACTGACATTATCATCGCTATATATATACATTTATAAAAGAATGTACATATTCAGGTAAAATTTATTAAAAAAAAAAAACCGCTTATGGGAAAACCAAGTAAAATTGAATTGCAACCGCCATCCCAGTATCTTGACAGCCGTCTTTTATGATATATATATATATATATATATATATATATATATATATATATATATATGTGTGTGTGTGTGTGTGTGTGTGTGTGTGTCTGTGTTGTGTCTGTGTTCTGTGTTCGTCTGTGTATGTATGTATGTATATGAAGAAAAGCGTCTTTACTTGCCAAAAACTAAAAACCTACGCGTTATTTCAGGTGAGACATACACGTTTTCATGTAACGAGATTTTGAATCAAAAAACTTAAAACCATTTCACAAAAGGCGGCAACCTCTGATTTCTTTCCATTTAAATTTTCACCCTTGCAAATGAGTAATGTGAAACGGAATCTTTGTAACTATCAAGAATCTTGATATTTTTTTTATATCTGCAGCGGCAACGCGTGTGTACTGGGATTTACAATTTGTAAATGAAGATGGGCAAACTCAATAGACATAGAATGTGTATACTGTTTGTTAACACACGTCTAAAAGAACAATTACTGCTTAAATATACTTCTCACTCACACCACTCTCTCTCTCTCTCTCTCTCTCTCTCTCTCACACACACACACACACACACTATCTATCTATCTCTCTTTCTCTATCTATCTATTTATATGCATGCGTGTTGGTACCCCCAGGCAGTGTAATGGTTCGATCCTCACTGGGTGCCCCATACTTTCACCCTTGTGACACATGTAAGCTACGCTTGGAAAATCATTATAGATGTGTGTGGACGGATATTAATGATAATTATCACGGTTTTGATTTTCATGCATGATCCAATCGTCAGGTGCATTAGGAAACTCACTGTGGTGGTACAAGTAACGAAAAATGTGTATTTATTAACAATATAAATTATAGCTTAGTTATTATACATCGGACATTATTTTATTAGCAGCATTTAATGTCGATATCTTACATATTTATTTACTTTAACTGAAGAACCGCGAATATTGCTTTATGTATGTAAGTGCATAATAATTATAGTTTGTCTATGTGACATTCAGAGTATTGTGTATGTTTTTTTGTCTGTACATGTGTCTAGCTGACATTATGTTTGGGTAGCTTTCCCCATATTGACTTCCTAATGATTTTATGTACATACCGTTTGATTTAGATAAGCGTACATTAGATTCTTTAAGATGAATAAATGCTGGTGATGTCGTATAATGTTTTTGACCTGTGTTTATATTTGATAACATTGTTATTAGTAGCTCCTGGAAGTATTTACAACATAAGTTATATTCTTTTTTAATTATGTTGGCGTTAAAATTTCTATCTTTTTTTAAAAACTGGCCAAGGGCCAGTTTTGCTCACGTGTATTAAGAGAGAACTCAAATGGTTGTCTAAACGAAAATATTTTTAAGGTCTTCGAACTTTTAATGGAAGCTTTAATGAAATGAATGAACACTTCTAGCTAGAATCAGGAAAAAAAACATTTTAGGACACAATGTGAAAGTGGCCTCAAAGTATTTCTCATTCACTGGACATATTATAACCGAATTTGACAGAAATAAAGCAGCGAACAATCTCCCTGACGATCTTGAGCAAATGGTCAGCGGAAGAGGAATTAAAACTATAGCAAAAAGATAAGACTTTCTAAGGGGTACACCAAATAGGACGTTATGGAAGGTCATAATTACGCGCGTCCCGAAGCGGAAAAGCCCATAGAAGAAGAAGAAGAAGAAGAAGAAGAAGAAGAAGAAGAAGAAGAAGAAGAAAATATAATAATAATAATAATTGGAGTAAAGCACGCTAATATTCGTAGTGATGCTGTTGATTTTTTTTTCAAATATGACTACAGTTGCTTATAAACTATTACCCTTTTTAACCTTCTCACTCCAAGCAAGCCGATAATGTCACTAGTACGCAGGGCGTTACAGAGAGTGAAAATGAAAGGGAAGACACAGAATAGTCTGGATTGAGTAAAGAAAAAAAGGATAAAGGGGCCTCAAGGAAACATAAGATGGCGATTGACGTTGCATTTAAATTTTTGAAGAATGTAGTTATCAGAGAAAGGAGTACCACAGGTGGCAATTATGAGAAATGAAACTGTTGAAGTAGAAGGGGCAGTTGCATTTTGCTATTTCAACAGAAAAAGATGTGACCATGATGTCAATCTAGTAGCACGCTTAAATTCATGTAGTCGGAATACCAGGGAAAAAAAGCTTGTTAGAGCAGTTGCTATGAAAATATTTGTAGAAATACATATGGAAGCCACGTCACGCCGGTGAGAAAGTGATTGAAGTCGAGATTCCTGGTCAGAATCGATTACATTACAGATCCTTTTTTTTTTGGATTTTGCCAACAATCTCAAGATGTACAGCAGGAACACCAGATATGGCAACGCTGTTAATGCACGGATGTATGGTAGATTTGTAAATGTGCAAGATGGATTCTGAAGAGAAACATATATGTGTACATTAGTGTTTTTGTTTCACATCATTTATCAGTATAACACTGAAAGAAGAATTCACCAATTCTCATTTATATATATACGTATTACTTTCTGTCGGCATAATTCTTGTTGATTTAGTGTTCTCTCTCCTTAATGTTTTTCTTTTTTTCATATTCTTTCACTCTTGCGTCTTAGTGACTATATTGCCTTGCTTGGTAGGTGGGGATTATTATGTAAAAAATGAGGATGTGTGTAATAAAATATAACAACATTTATAGAATCGGCAAGAGAAATCTTCCTCTGAGAGTGAAGGAAAATATTTATTAGGTGTTTTTTTTTAATCATTGCACCCCAAGCAAAGTGGAAATTCTACTAGTACTCAGTGGATTACATGGAGTGAAAGTCCAAAAGAAGACTGAGAATAAGGCCGATTGAGGGAAAGTCAAAGATGAACGGGTTTCAAGAAGATAGTTGATGGCGATTGATGTTGAATTTAAATTTTTCGAAGATTATAGTTATCGGTAATGAAATAAACGTAAGTGGCAAGTGCGTGAAAAGAAGTCGTTGGAGTAGAAGTGGCCGTTGAATTTAACTAGTTCACCAGTAAAAGGATGTGACCATGATGTCAATCTAGTAGCACGCTTAAATTCATGTAGTAGGGGCACCAGGGAAAAAAAGCTTGTTATTGCAGTTGCCATGAAAATATTTGTAGAAAAGACATATGGAAGCCACGTAAGGCCGGTGAGAAAGTGACTGAAGTCGAGATTCCTGGTCAGAATTGATTACATTAAAGATCTTTATTTGAACTTTGTCAATAATCTTATAAAAATTTCTTGTTCTCTGCACATAATAAAGATAAACTTATCCATTATTTTTTGTGTCCTCTTTGTTACTTTAGTACTCGGGCTTCTCTCTTATTGGCTGACAGATATCTCAGTTTTCTGGTAGATTTAGGATGTCTTTCATCTTTGGCCATAATTTTTAATATGTCTGGATGGGACTTTCTTTAAGTAACTTCATATGTATGAACTTATTTAACTTTGATGGAACCGCACTTTCTTTCTTCTAGTTAACTAAATAATTAGGAGGTGGGAGTTTCTGTGGGGATCGGACGTTTTATTTGTTATTTTTAATATTGTAAATTATCATTAAAGATAATTTTGTAAATTATCATTAAAGATAATTTTAAAGGCTGTTATACTTATGTTCCCCGCACAAAAAATAAAAATGTACATATGGGATTAGGTTAATGGAAGTTTTTTTCTATTATGGTGCCGGATAAACGTGTAAAAGTTATGTTTGGGTGTCTGGAAACATATACCTGTAACTAAGTCATTCTAAATATTCATTTGGGTTTCATTTTTTTTAATTTTTTGTTTTTATTTCTCACCTCCCACAGACAAATTGTACATAATGGGAGTCTTTGAGATATCATAATGGCTCTAGTAATAATGGTAAATAAGAATTTTGGAGTAAGGAATACTATGTTATTTTTTGGTCGGTAATTGTGGCGAGCTAAGTTTAAGGTAAGACAGACTGAAAACTAGCCTTCCCATATACCTGCCTTTTGGCCTTGTGTTGCATTTTTGTATTTGAAAAACTAAATATTGCGTGTAAATGGGTCAGTCGTCGTGAATAGCTATGTTAAAAGTTAGGTCAAGGGAAGACCAAGACTCACAATTATGACCACGTGACATATTAACAGCGATTTTCTATCATCGTCGGTTCAGTTCCAGACCAGGAAAAAAGACCAGCTTCAAATATGACCAGCTACCTTCACATGTCTCGGTTGAGTTCTCAGTCGGTTTCTCGTTTTGTCTGTCTCTTCTTTTGCATAAGATATTGCCTTGTATAATTGCAGTGTATAGACTGTTGGCTCATCTGACGTGACGTTTAAGCTTCAATTTCTTGACGTTGGGCATGACGTATTCCAATGTGCTTGTTTTTTGCCTGACTGTGTTTGTAAAATGAATCATTCGTGATGCGTTCTATGTAGGAGGTGCCGAGGATGGTTCAGAAGCATCTCATTTCTGATGGTTGAATTCCAAGATTCGCAGACCTTCAGTAAGATTGCAAAGGCAAATGAAGGCATTAGTTTGTTCTCTTACCAAATGGCCCTTAGTTTGCTACAGCTACCATTATTTTTATTTCATTTTCAATGATTTCAATTTCAATTTAAAGAGCGGGAGTCTATCAGTGGGTCTTGAAATACGCCGTCAGCATCGCCTGCAGAGTTTTCCTTCTCGTTTATATTCATCATATTCATTAGTTCCATAATCGGATGCGTTTGTGGGGTCGCAGGTAAAATGTGCATCAAGTCATTTACCTATATATATATATCAGTTACATGCCAATGTCCGTGATTCAACGAATTATTTTTAAACTTTTCTATAAATACTTGAATGTGTTGTAAAGTTATTTCGCAGTGGAAGCTTGTACTTGTACTAAATCGATCCTAAAATAGGTTCGACGTACAAAACGTTAGGAATTTGAT